CTGGAGCTGGGTTCAGGCCTGCCTCTTGCTGGAAGTTGTTTGCAGGGTGGTTGTAGCCGCATCGCTCCCAGAATATGAGCGAGACAAGGGGCGTGAGGGAATATCTCCTTGCCTTCCTCTGCCGGCACTGTGTGCAAAGCAGGCCAGCCCGTGGCACTGGGCATCAGCCTTGGCCATCGCCGCCCTGATATTTTTACCCATGATCTAATGATTCAGGAGTTTGCTCCCGCCCCCTGCCTTTCCCCCGCCTGCAGAATGTGCGCTGGGATTCAGCTTGGCAGCCTCACCTAACTCGGCTCTGCACTCGAGTATCAGTTGCTGCACCAAATGCAAAGTGTTTTGAGAGGAAGCCGAGGCCTGGGACTCCTGGCTTCTATCCCTGACTTGGTGATGGGATTTGCTGGGTGACCTGGGGCAAGTCAGTTCACCTCCCTCCGTTTCCCCATCTGTAGGATGGTGGTAGAGATAGGTCTGAAACAAAGTCCCTCGCGCGCACAAATTTGGTTCTCTCTTTAAAGGTCACCTGCCTGCAGGTGCTGAGATTTGGGGCTTCAACACATAAATGCCCATTTCACACAGCCGGAGCCAAATAGATCCCATTTGGACCCCCAGGTTATGTGATCTGAGCCCACAGTGGCTATTTAGAACAGAGCTGAAATTGATGTTGCGAGCTGAAATTAACGGTCTTGCCTAGACCCTTCCTCTTTCCAGCCCAGCTTTTACTTGGGTGTTGACACCCACAGCAGATGTTTCCAGTACAGTTTTAGGGACTAGGAATGATCAGCACCCTGATTGTGCGGAAGGAACATCGAATCTTTCTTTTTATAGGTCCTACCAAAATAGTGTCAGATAGTGTTTGGTTGGTTTTGGTCCAGCAACCTCCCTGAGTCCTGAATGATGATCAGCATGAACTGCGTCCAATATTGAAAGTAACCTTGATGCTTTCTTCTTACAGCATTCGTTACTGTTCGGCTACTGACATCTGCCCAAAGCAAAGAGCAGCCATTCAGAGTGTAATGGATTTTGTGCCTGGGAAAGCCAGGGTTCTTGGGTGGAATCTCAAATATTTCAAAATGCCCAGAAGGCAGGAAATCCCAATTTCTGCAGCGCCCCAGAGGCAGATAAAGAATTTGCACACCTAAAAAGTCCTTTCATACTTTACACAGCATTTCCATTGCTTTATAAACATTATAGCTCCCGTTAGCAAAGGATTTTGAAGCATTTCACAAATGCCAAGTAAGCCTCACCCTGCCAATGCAAGGTGGGGAAAACTGAGGCCCAGGGAGGGAAGGCTGCACAACTGCAACCTCAGAGCCCTGACCCAGGACTTCTTGCGGTGATCATGGCTCTGTGGCAGAGCTGGGACTAGAACCCAGGAGTCCTGAGCCTCAATCTCTGGCTGAGATCATTCTAAAGGAATCTGGGTCAAATTCATGCCAGCTCTGTCCTTAAGCAGATGTAGCTCTGGGGAGTTAGCGGGGATAGCAAGTTAGTCAGCCTGTATCAACAAGGGCAGACAACAGCTGAGCTGCCAGCATTTGGCTTGTCTCTCTGTGCAGGCCTCACGCAGAGCGTACGATGGGAGGGACCTGAAGCGGTCTCTGCAGCTCTGGTGGGTGGCCTTTATGACGCAGTCCAGCTGCTGCCCACGTGAGGACGTGCGTGATCTTTCTACTGTTGTACCAGAGCGATCTAAACAAGGAGTCCTCCCTTCAGCTCAGACTCGCTGCAAGAATGAATCCAGCAGCCCCAGCCCTGCACAGGAGAGGGAGCAAACATACAGTTCTTGCTAGTAGGGTGACCAGGTGTCCAGTGTTTGACCAGAACACCCGGTCAGAAAGGGACCCTGGTGGTTCCGGTCAGCACCGCCGACCAGGCCGTTAGAAGTCTGGTTGGCGGTGCTGCCCGGCTAAGGAAGGCTAGTCCCTATCTGTCCTGGCACCATGCGGCGTCCCGGAAGCGGCTAGCAGGTCTGGCTCCTAGGCGGAGGGGCCACGGGGCTCCGCATGCTGCCCCCACCTCGAGCACCGGCCAATGGGAGTTGGGGGGTGGGAGGAAGGTGCCTGCAGGTGAGAGCAGAAAACAGCCGCCTGCATGCCTCCCCCTAGGAGCCAGACCTGCTGCTGGACGCTTCTGGGGCGCAGCGCGGTCCGTGGTGCCAGGACGGGCAGGAAGCCTGCCTTAGCACCCCTGCTAACCCTAACCCTAACCCTGCCCTGAGCCCCCTCTCAATCCCTCATCCCCGACCCCATCTCAGAGCCCTCATCCCCTGCATCCAGGCCCCCTGCCCCAGCCCAGAGCCCCCTCCTGCACCCTGAACCCCTCATCCCTGGCCCCACCTGGAGCCCGCACCCCCAGCCCAGAGCCCTCACCCCTTCCCACATCCCAACCCCCTTCCTCAACCCGCAGCACTCTCCCTCACTCCGAATCCCTCGCCCCCACCCCTCAGCCCGGAGCCCCCTCCTGCACCCTGAACCCCTCATCTCCAGGCACCAGCCGAGCAAGCTCGTGCTTGGGGCGGCAGATTCTAAGGGGCGGCATTCCCTCAAATTTTTTATTTTTGCTTGGGGCAGCAAAAAAGCCAGAGCCGGCCCTGCCCAGTCCCACCCCAGAGCCTGCACCCCCAGCTGGAGCGCTCACCCTCTCCCGCACCCCAACTCCCTGCCCCAGCCCGGAGCCCCCTCCTGCACCCTGAACCCCTCATTTCTGGCCCTACCCCGGAGTCCTCACCCCCAGTTTGAGCCCTCACCCCCTCCTGCACCCCAACTCCCTGCCCCAGCCCAGTGAAAGTGAGTGAGGGTGGGGGAGAGCGAGCCACCAAGGGAGGGGGAATTAGTGAGCAGGGGCGTGGGGGCAGGGCTAGAGTGTTTGGTTTTGTGCGATGAGAAAGTTGGCAACCCTACTTGCTAGGGTCTCTGCAGTTTGGGTTCCAAGTGGGGACATTTCTGAGCTTCCATTCCTCTCCTTCGTGCCTGCTCGAGACGCCGATTGACCTTGCCGAGCCTGGCTTGCATTGATCAAGATGAGAACAAACCACTTGGATTTCCTTATTTTAGGTGGCTCTTCCTCCCGAGGCATTTCCCACTCCTAGAGTCTCAGCACTTCCCCTCCACCTGTGGTCTGTCGTGTTTGTTTAGACTGTAAGCTCTCTGGGGCAGAGACGTTCTCACTGGGTGCGCAGCACCTAGCACGGTGGAGCCATGAGCTCAGTTGGGGCCTCCAGACGCTACTGTAAATGCACACAATAATAAATAGCTACGCATAAGGGAGGAGATGTTAACCTCATAAGACTTAGAGGGTCGAGCTGTCCGACCCTCCCATGCTGTCGTTCTGTATGGAGTCAAAGTCCATCTTAAGCAGGTGTTTATTTATCAAAATAGCTACAGATCTTAGCAGGCGTCCGTACAGCCCGAGTTCCAGCTTTGTCTCCGTTGTATGCCAGGGATCACGCCCCCCTTGGAGCGACATGCAGTATACAGCACCATCTAGTGGGGATATAATATGTTGCAAGCCAACATACCACATCCACCAACCGGAGCAGGATCGCTGTGGTTTGCCCAGCACTTAAGTCTGGTTTTAAATGTCCTGTGGAAGACTCATCTGTCTTCTTGCGAGGAGGTGTTTCCTGATGATCAGCCTGCAACTCCATTCTCCTTCATCTCCTTGCTCCTCAGAGCACCCTGAATAATTCCCTTTCCTTCCTTGGTGTATATATCTTTCAAATACCCCCAGACCCTTAGGGCCGGGCTGTAAATACTTCTACTGTAAATCTCTCGGTCTTTCCTCCTCAATCAATCCCTTATTAACTGTCCTCTAAGGCTTCAAGTTTCACAGGCAGCTAGCGATGTTGGGGTTTTTCAATGCGCAACCTGAGTTGCCTTTTTAAAGGGGTTTCCCTTTGAAACAGAGCTGACCACTATCCCGTTGGAAATCTGGCGCTTTCGGGTCTCGGGTCTGGCGCCCAAAATCACGAGCCACCGGAAAGTTTAGGCCCAAATTCCACTCACATTTCCCCATCCCTGGTATGTAAAATGTTTCTGAAATGTCCTGTGGATCCAAGACCTCTTTAGTAGGTAGCATGGAGGAGGGAGGTTGCTTACATTGGTGGGCCTTTGAGGTAGGGACCATCTTTTTGTTCTGTCTGGTCAGCGTCTAGCACCATGAAATCCTGGTCCACAACTGGGAGGCCTAGACGGTGCCGCAGTACAAATAATAAATACTAATGATACTGTACTCGCTTTTCCAGTCTGAGCTGGAGGCTGGGAGCGGGGTGTGTGTGTGTGTTTTCCATCAGATGTGCTGTAAAAGGGATCATTGCTTTAATTCCCCAGGGAGCCTCTTGCCAATTCATACGTCAGCCTGTGTTTAATTTTTAAACACCCACACGCCGCTCTGAATCACCAGCCAATAAACACCAGCAGGGTAGGGCCAATAAAACAGCCCGTAACATGGGATGGAGCACAAGCTGTTTTCACGGCTGATCACCCCGTGATGCGTGTAATGGGAAGCTGGGAGCACTGGGAGATCAGAGCCTCAAGCCCTGTCTATAGAGGGGATATTTGTAGCCGAGTAGCTCTGCCCGGCGGTGCGGGGTGGATGTGCTGCATCAGTGTGAAATGGGGCTGCCTCCCGTGTCGTTTCCCCTGGTTTTGAAGCATCACTAACTGCACTGGTGCAAAACCCATCCTGTCTGTGCAGATCCCAAGTCGGGGGCATGGTAGCTGCATGAATCAGGAGAAACAGAGCAGGAATTGGGCAATCTGGACCTGGTCTGTGGCTACATGGGTCTCCGAGCACCAGGGCTGTCAGTCTGGCATCTTCCACCGTTGTGAAATTCCCCAGGACCCTTGGGACCAGGTTCTGAGCTGTCCCCGGGGGTGGAGGGGTATTTGGACCTGGGAACTGTGCTCTGGGCCCCTCTCCAGCATTGGGCCCTCGTTTGCATGGGGCAGGGGGTTCCCCGAACACATCACCAGAGCCGTTTGTTGGCTGTGTTCCAGGAATGGCAAGAAGGAAGGGGACCTGCTTGCCGCTCAGGCTCGCCTCAAGGACCTGGAGGCCCTGCTCAACTCCAAAGAGGCCGCGCTCACCACCGCCCTGGGGGAGAAGAGGAATCTGGATAATGAAATCCGGGAGCTGAGGGCGCAAGTGTCCAAGGTGAGCAGCAGGTCCTGACTCCTGAGCCCTGCTGCCCCGGGGTCCCCCGCAGCGCCAGAGATCATGGCATTCCCCGTGCACGTCCTGCCAAGCCTGCTGAAATACCCCGTATGGTTCGGAGCGGATGGGACCCCGCAGCAGTTAATGGTCCCAGCTAGGTCTGAGCTAGGGAGCCAACACCAGGTGGAATGGTGGGTAGGGGCGTAGGCAGGCGACCCACTCCTTCGCTGATGGGAGAAGCGAGGCTGGAGCCTTGGCTGGCTCCTGTTGCAGCGGGGGACAAATC